CCAAAGTTCATTCATATGCCAGGGATAAATGATGATCTACTACCTGAGACCCTATAGATGGCAGAGGTCTCCTCACTCATACACAAATGTAGGGTGTCTGGACTAGTCCCATTCTTGCCTCTCAGCCACCAGTCTGGGGTCCATGAGCAACCACTTGTTCAGGTCAGCTGTTTGTGGGGGTTTCACCATTCTGTTATTGACCCCTTTGCTCGTCGCTCTTCTTACTGTGCAACTGAGTTCCAGGAGTTCAGTTCAGTGTTTAGCTGTGGGTGTTTGTCTCTGCTTCTATCAGCAACTGGATGAAGGCTCTAGGTTGGCATATAAGATAGTCGTCAATCTCATTATTGGGAAAGGACATTTAAGGTAGCCTCTCTACTATTGCTTAGATTGGGAATTGGTGTCATTCTCTCTGAAAATCTCACTAGTGTGTCACATCTCTCCTAAACTTATAATGGCTCCCCCTATTATGGTATCTCTCATTCCTCTATTCTTCTCTCGACTTAACCTTCCTGCTCCCCCATGTATTCTTCTATCCTCCTCCTCTCTCTTTCTCCCAGCTCCCTATCCCCACCTCCCATGCTCCCAATCCACTCAGGTAATCCTGTCCCATTCCCCTTCTCTGGGGTACCGTGCATATCTCTCTTAGGTTACTACCTGTTTTCCAGACTCTCTGGTGGTGGGATTGTAGGCTGGCAAGCCCCTGTTCCATGACTAAAATCCATATATGAGTGAGTACATACCAAGTTTGTCTTTTTGTGACTGGATTATCTCACTCAGGATGGTTTCTTCTAGTGCCTTTCATTTGCATGCAAATTTCAAGATTCTATTGTTTATTTCCCCTGAGTAGTACTCCTTTATGTAAATGTACCATAAATGCTCTTTCCCATCTTCAACTGAGGGACATCTAGGTTACTTCCAGGTTCTAGCTATTATAAATAATGATGCTGTAAACATAGTGGAGTAGAAGTTCTTGATGTATGAATGTACATCTTTTGTCTATATGCCTAAGACTGAAATTGCTGGATCTTGTGTTAGATTGATTCCTATTTTCCTAAGGAATCTCCATACTGATTTTCAAAGTGGCTGTACAAGTTTGCATTCCCACCACCAGTGGAAGTGTTCACCTTTCTCTACATCCTCTCCAGCATAAACAGTCCTTTGTTGGTTTTTATTTTAGCCATTCTGACAGGAATAAGATGGTGTGTCAGAGTTGTTTTGATTTGCATATCCCTGATGGCTATGGATGTTGAACACTTACTTAAGTGTCTACTGGCCATTTTAAACTTCTCTATTGAGAATTCTCTGTTTCTGTACCCCGCTTTTTAATTGGATCCCTTGATGCTTTGGAGACTTGCGTCTTGAGTTCTTTTTAAATTTTGGAGATCAGCACTCTGTCAGATGTGGGGTTAGTGAATATATTTTTCCATTCTGTGTGTTGCCTTTTGTCTTGTTGACTGTGGCCTTTGCCTTACAGAAGCTTCTCAATTTCAGGAGGTCCCTTTTATTAATTGTCGATCTCAGGGTCTGTGCTACTAGTGATATGTTCAGGAAGCAGTCTCCTGTACCAATTCATTCAAGGGTACCTCCCATTTTGTCCTCTAAGAGGATCAGTGTGGCTGGTGTTATGTTGAGGTCCTTGATCCATTTGGATTTAAGTTTTGTGCCTGGAAATAAACATGTATCTATATGCACCCAGTTAAGCTAGCATCATTTGTTGAAGATGCTTTTTTATTCTATTATATAATTTTAACTTCTCTGTCAAAAATTAGGTGTTTGTAAGTGTGTGTGTTAATTTAAGAGTGTTCAGTTAGGATTCATTGATCTACCTGTCTACCTGTCTATTTTTATGCCAATACCAATCTGTTTTCAGGAAGATAGCTCTATATTAGAGCTTGAAGCCAGGGAACATGATGTCTGTGGAAGTTCCTTGATCGTGCAGGATTTTTTTTGGCTATCCTTGGTATTTTATTTTTCCATATATAGTTGTTTATTGTTCTTTCAAGGTCTGTGAAGAATTGTGCCTGTAGTTTGGTGGGTATTGTATTAAATCTGTAGATTACTTTTAGCAAGATTGCCAGTTTTACTTATGTTGATCCTAACTATCCAAGAGTGTGGGAGAACTTTCCATTTTCTGGTATCTTCTCTAATTTCTTTCTTTAAAGACTCAAAGTTCTTGCTATACATGTCTTTCACATATTTGCTTAGCATTACCCCAATATATTTTATGTTGTGTGTGTCAATTGCAAAGAGTGATATTTCTCTGATTTCTTTATCAGTACTTTTATGATCTTTTTATACTAGGCACACTGCTTTTTTTTTTTTAGTTCATCTTGTATACTGCCACATTGCTGAAGGTGCTTATCAGCTATAGAGTTTTTCAGGTCACTAATGTAAACTAATCATATCATCTACAAATATTGAAAGTTTGACTTTTTCCTTTCCAATTTGTATCCCTCTGATCTCCATTTGTTGTCTTACTGCTCTAGCCAGAACTTCAAGTACAATAAAAAGGAGATATGGAGACATATAGAGTAACCATGTTGAGTTTCTCCCCTTTAATTTGATGTTGGCTGTTGTTTTACTGTATATTGGTCACGTAAGTTTTTGTTATCCCTGATCTCTGCAGGACCTTTATCATGAAGGGGTGTTGGATTTTGTCTAAGGCTTTTTCAGCATCTACTGAGATGATCATGTGATAGATTTTCATATGTTGAACCATCCCTGCATATCTGAGATAAAGCCTATTTGATCATGGTTTAGGATGTTTCTGATGTGTTCTTGGATTCAATTTGCCAGTATTATATTGAGTATTTTTGCATCAATATTCATGTGTGATATTGGTCTGTAGTTCTCTTTCTTTGTTGTATCTTTGTGTGGCTTGGCTACCAAGGTAATTGTAGCCTTGTAAAAAGAGTTTGGCAATGAACCTTTTGCTTCTATTATGTGAAAAACATTGAGGTGTATTGGTATTAACTTTTCTTTGAATTTCTGGTAGAATTCTACTCTGAAGACATCTGGGCCCGGGCTTTTTTTAAAGGTTGGGAGACTTTTAAAGGTTGGGAGACTTTTGATTACTGCTTCTATTTCATGAGGGGATATAGGTCTGTTGCTTATCTCTTCATGATTTAATTTTTGTAAGTGATATCTATCCAGAAAATTGTCCATTTCCTTTAAATTTTCAAATTATGTGAAATACAGGTTTTCAAAATATGACCTAAAAATTTTCTGGATTTCCTCAGGGTCTGTTGTTATTTCACCCTTTTCATTCCTGATTTTGTTAATTTGCATATTCTCTTTCTTCCTTTTGGTTAGTTTGGATAAAGGTTTGTCTATCTGTTCAATTTTCTCAAAGAACCAACTCTTTGATACATTGATTCTTTATAATGTTTCATTGATTTGACTTTATTGATTTCAGCCTGATTGATTATTTCCTGGGGTCTACTCTTACAGGGTGAGTTTGCTTCTTTTTGTTTTAGAGCTTTCAGTTGTGCTATTAATATCCCAGTGTGACTTTTCTCCATTTTCTTCATGGAAGCACTTAGTGCTATGAACTTTCCTCTTAATACTAGTTTCAAAGTGTCCCATTAGTTTGGGTATGCTGTGTCTTCATTTTCATTGAATTCTAGGAGGTTTTTAATTTCTTTGTTTATTTCCTCCTTGACCCATGAATGTTGCAATTGTGGGTTGTTCAATTTCCAAGAGTTTTTAGGGTTTCTGCAATTTGTGTTGTTGTTGAATTCTAACTTTAAAGCATGCTGGTCTGATAAGATACATGGAGTTATTCCAATTTTTTTTCTGCCTGTTGAGTTTTGCTCTATTGCCATGTATGTGGTCAAACTGAGAGAATGTCCCATGTGGTTCTGAGAAGAAGGTATATTCTTTTGTGTTGGATAGAATGTTCTATAGCTGTCTGTGAAACCTAATTGGGTCAAAGCTTCTGTTAGTTCCTTGTTTTCTTTGTTAAGTTTCTGTTTTGTGGTCCTGTCTAGTGATGACGGTGGGGTGTTGTAGTTTTTCACTATAACTGTGTGAGGTCTTACGAGTGATTTGAGTTTTAGTAATTGTGTTTTACGAATGTGGGTGCCTTTGTATTTGGGGCATAGATGTTCAGAATTGAGATTTCTTCCTGATGGACTTTTCCTGTGATGACTATGATGTGACCTTCTTCATCTCTGTTAACTGATTTTAGTTTGAAGTCTAATTATGTTAGATACAAGTATAGCTACACCTGCTTGTTTCTTGGGTCCATTTATTGGAAAATCTTATCCTAACACTTTACTCTGAGGTAATGTCTGTCTTCGAAGTTGAGGTGTGTTTTTTGTTTGCAGCAGGAGGATTCATTCTGTCTTCATATTCATTCTGTTAGCCTGTGTCTTTTTTTGTAGGCAAACTAAGACCATTAATATTGAAGGATATTAAGGACCATTGATTATTAATTCTTGTTTGTTTTTGATTTGTTGTGGGTGGTGCTATTGTTTGTGGATTTAACCTGCTTTTTCTTTTGGCTTTTGGTAAAGTGGGATTATCTATTGCCTATGCTTTTGTGAGTGTAGTTAACTTCCTCAGGTTGGAGTTTTCCTTACAGTTGTTTTGTAGGGTGTTAGTGGAAATGTAATGTTTAATCTGTTTTTTTCATAGAATATCTTGTTTTCTCCATCTATAGTGATTAAAAACATTGCTGGATATAGTAATCTGGGCTGGCATCCATGGTCTCTGGCTGTTTGTAAAATGTCTATCTAGGACCTTCTGACTTTCAGAGTTTCTATGGAGAAGTCATGTGTGATTCAGATAGGTGTGTCTTTATGTGTTACTTGACCTTTTTTTCCTGCTGCTCTTAATATTCTTTCTTTTTCTGTATTTCAGGCGTTTTAATTATTATGTACTGAGGGGACTTTTTGTGGTCTACTCTTATGGTGTCCTGTAGGCTCTTTGTCCTGTCTTTGGCATGTCTTCGTTTGGGCTGGGAAAGTTTTCTTCTATGATTTGGTCCAAGGTGTTTTAAAACCATGAAAGGCTTCATGAAGTTGTGTGTCATCCTTGCCTAGAGGCCATGATAACCTTCTCTGTATAGTTCCAATTTAATTATATGTGCTGTCAAAGCAGGCACCCCCAAAAATCCTATAACGGGGCAAATCAACATTTCTTCCTCATGTTATATTGCTCTAGCTGTGTGTACATGTTCATTAGGGTGATTGTCTGTACATGTGTGCAGGTGCATGTGGAGGCCAGATATTGTCAGAAATCATTCTTAATAGCCCTCCAACTTGACTTTGTGTCAGGGTCTCCCAATGCCTTAGAATTCACCAATTTGACTGTGTTACCTGGTCAGTGAGCCTCAGAGCTCCTTCTGTGCCTACATTAATAGCACTGGGATTACAGGTATGGCCCACCATGCTCTCTTTCAAAACTTAGACTCTGGAGATGGAGCCCATAACCTGGATTATATTCTCAAGAGTGATATGGGAAACAGTGGGGAGATGGTTCCTGTGATAAAGGACTAACTTTCCATATATGAGTCTAAATCCTCAAGGAGGACATACCTGTGATGAGTTTCTTCTTAGTTTGATGGGGGAAGAGTACAAATAATCCAGGTATTTGAAGTAGGATGACTCACCTTTGATGAAGATCATTTCTGGACCACATCTTCTGTTGGAGACATATATAAAGACATGGAAAAGGGAGCTTTTTGATTTTTGCCTGCTTGCCCTTTTATTGCTATAAAATCCATTCCTTCAATGGCATTGGAGCCTACTTCTTATGGATTCTAGTGTATTAAAAACAAGTAAAGACATCCAGACTTGGATTCTTGAACTTTCTGTCTTTAGGCAGAAAAGAAAGGTCTGACATAGAGAGATAGGAAAATTTATTGATTTAAAGATGATTTCTGGGATGAGGATATGCCTCAGTGCACATGAGCTCGTCTTTGAGCAATCATGATAGCCAGTGTTAAAATTCCCAACACCCACATAAATAAGAACCTGACTGTTGCCCCCAGCACTGGTGGTGATAGAGACAAGAGGATTTCTGGGATTAGTTGACCAGCCAGCCTAGCTAAAAAAGGTGTGTCCTGCTGTTATCTCCAGTACCATCTTGGTTCACTTGGTTATCCCTCCATCGGAAACAGTTGACCTGACATAATGAGAGCATGCAGACCCTAGTCATAATGTGCAGGAAGCAGCTTTGGACCAAACCAAGCCCTCTGAATGTGGGTGCTAGCTAGGAGGTCAAGACAATCTATGGAACCTCTAACAGTGGAGGCAGGGTTTATTCCTAGGTCACAAATGGAATTGGGGAGCCCATTCCCTATTGAGGGTTACTATTGCAGCCCAGATATGGCTGCCTACCAATGGAAGGTCGGAGGATCCAATAGTTGTTCAGTCCATGAAGCTGGACATCTCAGCTGGTCTTCAATGCCAGTGAAGAAATGGACTTGTGTAAACGGAATCCTTTTCCTTGAGAGAAGCCTTCCTGCCAGCCTAGTTCCAGAGCCGCATCAGTCCCAAATAAACACACAGGAGGCTATATTAATTATGAAGCTGTTGACCTTGCTTGTTTCTTACTGGCTAGCACTGACTTAAGTAATTACCCCATAATTGTTAATCTAAGTATATCTCTTACCGGAGAAGTTTCCAGGCTTCCTACCCCATGGCGTTACATCTTGACTTCCTGTGTTTCTCCTTCCCAGAGTCCTTCTGGGCTCCTAGTCCCACCTATCTTGGTTCGCTATTGGCCAACAGTGCTTTATTAAAAAATACACAGGACTTCCCCCATCAGACTTGACAGTGAGTGTGAGAGAAAGCAGGCAAATATAGAGCAAGCTTCTTTCTTCCACGTTTTTTATATAGACTGCCAGCAGAAGGTGTGACTCAGATTCAAGGTGAATTTTCCCACTTAAAAGATTAGAAGTCAGTCTTCTAACTTCAAATGCTTCAGTTAAGAAAAGTAATACCCTCACAGTTGTGCCCAGCCATTTGGGTAACTCTAGATATAGTCAAGGTAACAACCAAGAATAGCCATCACAGCATCACACACACACACACACACACACACACACACACACACATGTATGTATATATTTACCCACACACACTATATATATGTATATATACACATATATGTATGTATATATATGTTATATATTATATTCACACAAATATACTACACCCAACATTCACAGTATACACAGACCATACCAAGCATGTGTATTATATCACTCACACACATACATCCCCATACCCAGAAAATACATACACTACATATACATGTACATTACACCATATCCTCAGCACACATGTGCATGCATACCCTATACCCAGTATATAAATATATTTCACATGTGATATATAAACAATACAGCACAGCAAACTCACATGTATGTGTATTAATTAATACACAATAATCAGCATCCATATCACACACACAAAATTGTATGTTATACATTGGACTCAGGAGGTTCTTAACAATAGCAAAGGACATTAATTTGGGTGGGGACAAATTGGAAAGCGGCCAGGGCAATTGTTAGTTGGGTAGAGAAGTGGGATCATGAATTTCCACGCAAAATAACAAAAGTTTAAAGGAATTTTAGAAACAGAAGAACAGAGAGAAGCACAGATTTTTGGTAGCAGCATTTTTCTCAGGTGTGCTCTGTTTTGCTATCGACAAGCCGAGATTCACGTGGCTCGTTTACCGGAGTCTTCCTGACTCAGCATAAAAAGAAAAAAAAAAAAAAAACAGCAAGGTTGTTTTAAGAGACTCTGCTACCGATTGAAAGGGGTGTACGTACAGCTGGAAGTGGCAGCTTTTGCTGGAGATCAGCATGGACTGAGGCGGTAAGCTGGAGTCACGCTTACGCCCGCCCCCCCAATGGCGTTACATGTTGACTCTCTTGTCTTTCTCCTTCCCAGAATCCTTACGCCCACCATCTTGAAACGGCAGTTTAAAACAGCCGCGGTTTTACAGTTAAGACACGTGGCCAGAAAAACATAAAGATTTACAGTAAAGTCGACTTGGATGAAGAAAATCTCTAAAGGTTTACAGTGTGTTTAAAAATATACGTGAGATTAAGAGAGAAAATGAAACGGCAAAGTGGTGGCGTTTTGTATAAATACAAAAGCCGGTGTTGTGGTGGCGCACGCCGGTAGGATTTACTCCAGAGGCAGAGGCAGGCGGATTTCCAAAGAGAAATCCTGTCTCAAAGAAAAATAAATAAAAGTAAAATAAATAAAGTAATAATAGATAAATTAATAAGCCACGTAAAGATGGAAAATACACAGAGAGTCTGGATACTGTACGCTATTGTGTTTTTCAGTTTTTTGATTGCTAAGGAAGGAACAAATGCTAAAGTACACTTGATTATAAATGCTGCTGAATTAATCCAACTTCTATCTTTTAAAAATGCCTTGACTTCAAAATTTAAGTGTAAGGATATGTTACTTGGAAAAGGAGTTTTTATTTATGTTTCTACAGAAAATGAAAAGCTAAGGATTCCTTCCAGGCTTTTGTGGTTTCACGAACCAAGACCCCCGGAAGCAGTGGACCAGGTGTTCCAACGACTGAGACAGCGAAGATGATACAGCCTTACAGACCCCGAAAATACGGACTTATACAGGTTTCTGAGTTTTGTCATGATCCCCATGGTATAAACAGCGCCCCCTTCCAGCAGGAAGCAGTTTGGAATGAGCGACGTCCCAATTCCCATCTTGTTTATAAATCTTTGTTTTCATTTAAATGGGATTGTTTATAATTGGCTAGTGATCACAGCCAATCTTTTTTAATGGTAAAAAGGGGAATTATGGTATGGGTATTGTTTTTCATTTATTGAGACAAAATCAAGGTCAATTTTGTGATGTTTATATTTCTCCTCTTGATTAAGCATTGTGCTTATACTGATCTTCTAAAATGTAATGCATAATTGAATACAGACTATAGATAGTTACTTATAATAGAATTTATAGTTAGGTAAGTTAGGTTTTCTAGATATACAGAAATATATTTGAGACAGATAGACAGTCTTCAAACCTCTCAAAGACCTTCAGAACATGGCATTTAAAATGGTCTAGGGTTTTTTTTGACAATGAGAAATGTCTGCTCCTGGCAGCACCAATTATGTCTGAGAGGAAGATGGGCATCGAAGAAACTTGTTATGGAGTTTGCTTTCAACATGGCAAGATTAGCCATTTGGGCAAGAAACTGCTCTTGCCTAGACTGTTTGACTGCTGTTGTATAAATTGGACATGCAGGACCCACAGGAAAGTGACTACTGAACTCAGTCTTACAGGGTTCCTGCTTCATGAAGAGTCTACGAGACTTTCTGCAGGGGAAAGAAAAATGACTGACCGGCTGCCAACGCAGATGGACAGTTTGAAATTTCCTGCTTTGCTGAGAAGTGTTCCAGACACATTGTGGCCTGTGGGCTGAAGATGGATGCCCCAACGTTACAGAGGAACTTCGGGTGACTGTCCAGGCCGTAAGATGTCTCTGTTAATCCTAGTGTTTATATATTATCCTTCTGTGGTCTTTGATGGAGTTGAAGAAGATAGTTATAATTATAGTTTTCCTTAGTTATGATAAAAGATACATATAGAACTTTTGACTCACAAGGATGGGATGGATGATATTTTCTTTAAATCTTGCTAAAATATTGTAACTATGTTCTTACTTGATAACTGTTCTGTCATATACAATTTGACTATGTTAAAATTAAGACCTTTCTTTTATTTAAACAGAAAAGAGGAGATGTTGGGGAAGTCCTGTTATTTGCCTGTGCATTTGTCAATAAAGTACTGTCTGGCCAATAGAAAACTTAGATAGGAGGGACTAGGAGTCGAGGAGGATTCTGGGAAGGGGAAACACAAGGGAGTCGAGATGTAACCGCCATTGGGGTAGGAAGCTCGGAAACCTCTCCGGTAAGAGACATACTTAGATTAACAATTATGGGGTAAATACTTAAGTCAGAGCTAGCCAGTAAGAAAAAAGCAAGGCCAACAGCTTCATAATGAATATAGCCTCTTGTGTGTTTATTTGGGACTGATGCGGATTTGGAACCAGGCGGGCGAGAAGGCTCCTCTCAAGAAAAAGCTTCTCATAACAGGGTAGTGAGGTGATATG